TGCATGATGTGAGGGTCCATGCACGGATCACACGGATGTGGTTCATTTTCGCTGAGCATTGCTGGGAATGCCAAAAAAAGCAGTAAAAAGAAATCCTCGAAGTGGGCGATTACTTATCTTATTCGAATCCGTTCAGCTGTGGCGTTGAGTATATATAGATTTTGAGGTATTCCTTACCTTCTGTGGAAAAAATCAATGCAAAACAAGGCCAAAATCTAAGCACCTCATTTGGCATCTAGTGAGGCACCTTAAAATCCCTTCAACGGCTCCCGCATCTTTCCCGCAGGATCTATTAAGCGCCAAGCTGGCCCCAAATGGCTTCAGCGCTAAAAATAGTGGAAAATAAAAATAGTTATTGGGAATCAACTGCCCCTGTATGCATAGTTTAGGCGAAAAAAACGTTTTCGAGCTCTTCTGGTGATGAATCGTCTTTTTGAATGGCAGTGAACCCGAACTCTCACATCTCCGTATCCGTGTAGGTCACAAACCGTCATAGATACCAACCGTCATAAAGCGTGCATTCGCAAATTCGGCACGTCTGTAAATTACGCTACGTCACTCCAGAGCACCTGAAGAGCATCCTGAATCGTCCTCATCTTTGAAACTCTAGATTTCTATTTAGAATCTCGTTACCTCTTGCCGTAGAAAAAGGGAGTTGTTTCTTTGGTTTTTCAGGTGAAAATGGTGTATAGTACGCATGCGTCCTTATTTTCGGAATTTGAGGTTATTGATTATGTGCCGGTGTACGAGTAAATGGAAATGTTCAGGTAACGAAAATGGATAACGACTTCTAGAAGGGACAGATAGCTACTGGTGGGCTTGCTAAGCCATCATAACCCAAAAAACTTATGAAACATTTTGGCTGGAACTTAGTAGTAGTAAAGCGCACTTATTTTTGACGCCGAGGTCATTTGCGGCCAATTTGGCGCTAAATAGCACCTGCGGTTGACAATGCAGGTTGAAAATGATTTCAGTTCGGTAAAGCCCTTGCACCAACCTAGCGACAGATTGCACCATATTCAAGGAACATTCTCATCTGTATATTCTCCAGCTTCTCTCTTGTTGTAACCTTCGGCATCGTTGTTAAATTCGTTGGTATTGCTGTGCCTATTGAGGTTTTTAGGTGAAATATTTATTCAACTGCCTAACGTTCCGACAGGGTCGTCTTCTTCAAAAGCCTAAACGTGTTTCGAGTTGAGGAGATGAACGCTACCCCGTCAAGCGCCGAAAAAACCCTAGGATTCCATGACGTGTTCGGAACTGTACAAGAAAATTCTACACAATACGGAATGTGCACTCACCAGAACTCCACCGTGAATCCGCCGTCACGTGCGGATGTTAGTCAGTAGCAAATGAGGCTTACTCTAGCGTCCCCTTATACGTATAAAGTCGAGGAGCCGCACGTATCACCAGCCACAATAACTCACAGTATGGTATAAACGTTTATTGGTTATTGACGGACGCTCATCACGGTGGATCATCCTAGGATTTCTGCCGGAAATCCGGAACGCCTCCAGCGCCTTTCTTGCTGAGAGTTCCGTCTCGTGCGCCAATATTGTGCACTTAATTTCGAAGTTGTTGCCGTTGTGCTCCTCAGTTCTATGCTTGCCTAGCGCTGTCCTGGACCTACTGCGCCTCATACCAGTGAGTTGTTCGTTAATTTGAACACCTAGCGGTCTTTGTCTCTCCGATATATGTGGATCCGCATGTCTAACATTCTGTCTGGTAGATCACACCTAATTTTGTGCAACGTCAAGCAGCAACTAGTTCGAAACAGGCTCTACGATCAACAGTGCATATTGAGAGATTGCGTTATTTGTCCACGTGACACATTGGGGATTGCACAAAATTAGGTGTGATCTACCAGATAGACTGTCGGACATGTGGATCCACATATATCGGAGAGACAGGAAGACCGCTAGGTATTCGAATTAACGAACATCTCACTGGTATGGGGCGCAGTAGGTCCACGACAGCGCTGGGCAGGCACAGAACTGAGGAGTACAACGGCAACAACTTCGAAATTAAGTGCACAATATTGGCGCACGAGACGGAAATCTCAGCAAGAAAGGCGCTGGAGGCGTTCTGGATTTCCGGCAGAAATCCTCGGATGAACCACCGTGATGAGCGTCCGTCAAACCAATGAACTTTCGCCGTTTATATTGTACTGTGAGTTATATTAGCCGGTGATACTCCTCTCCTCAACTTCATACGTATAAGGAGACGCTAGAGTAAGTCTCCTTTGCTACTGTCTAACATCCTCATGTGACGGCGGATTCACGGTGGAGTTCTGGTGAGTGCACATCTCGTATTGTGTAGAATTTCCTTGCGGAGTTCCGAACATGTCATCGGAACTGCTAGGGTTAGTTGGGCGCTTGACGGGGTAGTGTTCATCTCCTTACCTCGAAACACGTTTAGGCCTCTGAAGAAGACGACCCTGTCGAAACGTTAGGCCGTTGAATGAAGATTTAACCTAAAGACCTCAAGAGAGCGATACTAACAAATTCTCATCTGTGACCAGGGCATCTGATAAATGCCATAACCCCAGTTTCAGAGAGAGTTTCTTTAGGAGCGGAATAATTGAGTAGAGCCGATTCATGAACCATTAGTGCATAAGATGGAGGATAAAAGGATAGAGTTTTCGCCGTTGATCAATCCCTTTGTGGGATGCGGCACGCACTCTAATTCCATTCAGAATAGCAGTGGCTTTAATAAATGCGATGTGGCCTGTACAATGACTTGCGGGGGCCAGCCGATGTGCAAGTCAATGTTATTATCCTCCCAGACGATTCTGGTATCAGTTCACCGCCCCTGGAGGGTAGAAGGCTTGGTGGCCTAGGCGGACCACTCGCGCGGTCCGGGATCTGAACCCAGGACCGTGCGAGTGGTGAGCGGCCACTTGACACTACACCACCTCCTGACAGTGTACACGATGAGCCCTTGAATACACCGCTGGACATAATTATAGTCCCCGTTTGATTCTCTGGGAATCTTTCGTCCAAATATTTTTTAAACAGGCTCAGTGAAAAGCAAGCTTGCTCATTAGGACCAAAATTTACTTTAAATGCTACAAGCATTTCTATCTCAATCTTTTGAGAAACAGTACCTTGGCCTATTTGGCATAACCTTACTTCCACTTAACGAAGCGCTTCATTCAGCAATGAAAGCCGAACAGTAAACTAAATGGCCAATTCAATATTCTATTGGGCCCCCGTTTCTTTGAATGACTTGAAAATCCTTGTCGCTAAAATAGAGCTTATAGATAAAAGTTTGAAGAATTTGGTGCCACGCTTCAGTATTTGCCTTCTTGAGGTCACCCAAGTCCTGCAGTCAAGCGTTATTGGCAGAAATCCTGCGGACTATGGAACCCCACACGTTTTCCGTTGGATTCAGATCAGGGCGCCGTGTGCGACGCCCAGGGACACTGACTTGTTACTAATGAATGCTTCTCTCAAGATGCGGCGCATATCCCGGTCGAACAGCAATTGAGGATGTTTGTGATTTTTTTTTGTTCCATATCTCGCAGGACCCTTTACGAGACTATTGACAACTGGATGGCCTCAGCCGAGATTGCGCGCAATTTGGCGGTTCGACAGGCCCTTGTTCTCTCTGGCTACGCTTCAGCCTTTTTCGAAGTCTGATAACGGTTTTCATATTACCATCACCTAGAACAGAAAAAATTGCTACAAATACGACTTTTGATCAAGAAGAAGCGACTCATAACAAGAAACCAAGAGGTGGGAGTATAGTAGTGCCAAACACTACGTGGCTTTTCAAAAAAATTAAGGTCATATTTAATGTTCTCGGAGTAAAATTTGATCTTGATGAGGAAACTCGCAAAATTATTTTAATAAAAGATTTCCAGAGAATCGTAGGTGGAAATATAATTATGTCCAGCAGTGTGTCTGGCTTATACCCCCTATTAGACCTGCAGAAACACAAGATTTCTCTTCTCTGCCCCCCCCCCCCGCCTTTGAGCGCGGGGTGATGAAGTTGACAATGGGCCGCGAGGAATCCACCTCTGAATCTGCTCCGACTTCGAGTTCATGTCAGAATGTATCTAAAGCAGTTATTTTCTTAGCCTTCGGCTTTTAGTGGTCCGCTACACAGGAAGATCACGAGGGGAAAGGATCCGATACTGAGACACTATTGCACTTTGTTGAAGGAAACGAATATTGCGATCAAGCCGTATCTTCGATATTCCGTCATCGGAACATTCAACATCCCATTCATATAAGAAGATCGTCCGGGTTTTGATCTGCTTGCAAATGCTCTTAACTTCGTTGAAGAGTGCTCTTGCTAGGGTTGAACATTAGTTTTCACAGTTTCGTCGAAAATGTTGGATGCGCTCCACCAGAAGACGGCAACTCATTTTATACCGCAGGACTTTTCGAGAACTAAGCTTCTGTGGCGGCTGTGTATACGTTCAATCATGAAAGGGGCCTTCTTCGGTCACAATAGCTCCTTCATCTCATCTACCTTTTTCTTTACATATTTAATCCCTCTGACAACCGTACTACAGGTTAATGCCGTCTCTTCTGGTGACCCCTTTTGATAAGTGAACGGGAGGTCTAGGTGTTCACCCGCCCTGAATGGCTGCGTGGCTTTTCATATCCAGTGCTTTTCGTGTTTTTTTCTGCATTTGAACCCAAGTGAAAACATCGTGCAGTTTCATTACCTATGTTTTCTGTTTTTCGCTGATGGACATGATGTCCTGAACAGTTTAAAATGGACTTTTTCGCTGATGGACATGATGTCCTGAACAGTTTAAAATGGACTTTTCTGTTGTTGAGCAGTGGCAAAGCTCAAAGACATTTTCTGAACGTGCTGAAAATATGATCAGGAAAAATGAGTTAATGGCGCGCATGCTATAATAATTACAAGTAATGTGATTTCAGAACTCAGCCCTGCCTGTAACACCGACTAGCCCATTACCAAACATTGGTCTCATAGCAGAACAGTGTTATGCGTATGAGGATCAAAAAAAAAGGCGACGTGCAATGCTATGTCGCTCTTTAGAAGACATTCTCATGAGTGATGATGTAAGTCACAGCAACTTAGTCAGTGGCGATTTTGCAATTTCACTGGTGTTGTCGAATAAAACTCTAATTAAGGATTCAAGTCTGAGACATGTAGCAACCCCAGAAGACTACACTGATATGTTCCATGTTCAAATGGTTCTAATGTTCGAATGGGCAGAGAAACTGCCTGAATTCTGTTTGCTCCCAGATCCATTAGACAAGGTTACTTCGAAAGATTCTGGTTTGCTATCTCGGCATTGCAAGCTCATTTACGATGTCAGATTGCTGTTATTCTTTGCTAGGCGAAACTTTTGCGGGCATTTTCTCTTCATTATCTACTACTGGACAATGTGTTTTATACTATGGAACTCGGATTCGAAGACAGGATTGTCTTTGTGAACAACAACTTTGTGAAACCTTTTGAAGTTTCTGCAGTTGGGTATAGCGAATTATCCGAAGGAACCGCAGAACTAAGGTATGTTTCGTTTTCAGGTAACTTTTCGTTATTCTGAAAATGAATCCTTCCTCAACTTCGTGACCAACTGTTTCTCTAGTCCGTTGGGACTCAAAAACAGACGTTTATGATATTTCCAGAGAGACGGTCAGTATCGCATTGCAGAAAAAAATTCATTTTGCATCACATTGATCCTAATCTCCTTCAAATAAACATTTCGCGATTTCCTGTTGTACCGAAGCTCATCCTTGCCCAACTATCTAGGTCAGTCCGCGATCTCAGATTTTGCCCCATTCCGCGCTTCCGCAGCGAACCGAGATAAGCCCTGCTCCGGCTAAAGACGCTGCGCCCGTCTTTAGCCGGAGCAGGGCACATCGTTGTTGGGGATTCCCCAACAAGGGGTCGTATTCGGTCGCTGGGAGAGGGGGGGGGGTCGTAATGGGTGGGGCAGTGAGTAGCGAACAGCGCAATGGTGTCAGCGTGCTGAGTCTTGTATAGCGAAACCTGCTTTGTAGGGAACCCGTATATGTAGGAGAAAATTAGTACAAAGCTTTCATTAATTGAACTAATACAAAATTAACTGGAAATATTAATAAGTTGGCAGCATTTCGTAAGTGCGTAGATGATCAAACAGTACTATTAGGTTGTTGCATAAGTTTCCCCCCCCCCCTTGTTTCGATCCTTCCGTATTTCGTTTACATGGAGGTCGGTATTTCGTCATCACGTGTGCATGGCCTGTACATGATACTCTTTCACCACACTAGCTATCACTCACCCAACCTGCATTTGCAGGCTACAATGACGCACAATTACCAGTGTAAAACCAGGTCACAGTGGTGATTGTGCGGCATTGTGGCCTTCTTCGGGTCCCAGCCCCCGTCCTTCTGGGACGATGGAATCGACAAGCTGCCTGAGCGTTGGCGTCGTGTAGTGGATGGTGATGGTGCATATCTAATCTTCAGGCTGGCTCGCTATTGATATTTACAAAAAAGTCGGGGAACGAACTCATGTAACCGCCTAATACTTATAGTACCCAGTTCGCTGCGGATGATGGGGCGTGTCCACGCGACCGGGCTTGGCGCGGCGCCAGCCTGGTTTTTTTCGACGAACGACGGGACTACCATATCGTTCGCATCAGACGTTTTCCAGCAATTGGTCTTCTTTATCGGGCTCAGGAATTGGCGGAGCACGGATCTGGCGGCGTGCGGTTGCCAATCTCCGTGGCGGATGATGAGGCGGACACGCGATTATGCGGCGGTCACGGACAATACTGCAACGAGTGTAGAACTTGGCCATGAGCCTCTCTGAATCCTATGAAGACGTCTGCTCGCGTATACAGGCATTGCGTAGAACTTGCACCATCCCACCACCACTGCGTGGGAACCTAACCATGGCGCATGCAGAGATAAAGCTAAAGGGTGCTAAACCAACTACTGCTTGTTCTCATTCCAGGAAGAGATGCATTCCAGATGCATTCCTGGATATCCGAATACGCCCCACTGAAAAGGTACACAGAAACGGGTTTTTCGAGCAACTCGGAGTGTTCTTCAGAAAATTCCCAACGCGATTATCTCATGAGTCCCGAAAACTTTAAAAACACTTGTTGGCACGATAATTTGGTACTCGGCCTAAAATGCTAGCAGAGCGCTATATAACAGGAAAATGGCGAAAAAAAAACGCAGTGAAATGGTCGAAAACTGCGAAGGAAACTCTTCATTATTGAAAAGCAATTTCTGACAAGTTTCCCGTAGGCATATTAGTAACCGCTGTGGCAGTACGAATGCACATATGTATTAATATATCCATGCAGCACCGCAGCCGCTTCAAACCAATGCCTTCGCTTCATAATTTGCTTAGCAAATGAATCAATAAGAGCGCAAAGAAGGGTCGTCCATTTGTGGGCGGGCTGGCGTGGTAGGCGTTTGGGTCGGTAATTTGTAGCTTGATGGGGCCATTATAAGGGTGCTCTCCTTGGAAAGGGCGCTGCGCAGTGCCTGCTTAAGGCACGGAATCCCGTCCTGCCAGACGTTTCAACCATACTCGTCTTTAGGGACTTTTCGTGCCAACTGCCTTGTGGTTTTTGGAAGGAGGGAATCTTCTAATATCGCCGCTGGTTTTATTTTCAAACAGTTAAGTTTTTCAGAAAATTATCTGCGTTCAAGTCAAAGCAGTTTGCATCCGATTTCGAAAATCTGGAACTGATCCGCAACGCTGATTTTCTGCCTGAATTTGGCAAATTTTACAAACATTTCAGTACTTTTCGGGAAACTCAAATCTTTTTCTTCACGAGTGCGTTTTCCCTTTCCCAACGGTCTGCCTTTAAAGAAGTTCTAACCCTTTAAAGGCAGGTTGCTTTACTTAAGGGGGTCTAGGAAAATGCGCCCCAACGCATAGCGCGGGCGCGTGCGCATTGGCTATTCTAATGGCATAGCTGCCTGTTCCTCCCACGCGCGCGAATTTCAACAGAACAGTTTGTAGGTTGGAGCACAAAGGAATTAAGGATCCCAGCTTGCTCAGTTGACACGGCAGTGGTAGAAAATAGTAAATAATCGTTATAACTTTTGTAATTTCCACCTGTTTTCAGTCGGGGCCTTATGGTTTTCCATGTTAGCCGAAGTACATATGTATCAGAACACCGGAGTTCATCCAAACTAAATTCCTGCAAATAGAGGGAGCAATTTTGCTGGGATCTTGTCTTATGAACCTAGGGAATGTTTGGAGTTTCACTGGTACAGAAATTCTTTTGTTGGGTGACGGTTAGTGCTGGAAGGTGCTCAGAAGCCAGGGATAAATTTTAGCTTGACGCTGGTTTTCTTCCAAGTAGGTGTTGGAAAAAAATGCAAATAAAAAGGCGAAAAAACAACAAACCTTCTATATACAGGGGGGGGGGCAAAAAAAAGTCATTCCGGCCGAGTCACATATGAGCGAAGTTTTCGCAGCCCAGACAGAGGAAGTGGATATGAGTATCAGGGCGGAAGCTACCCAAGATCTTTCTCTATAAGCAGGAGCCAGCTGCCGCCATTCACTTCATGTACACCAAAATATGAAGTCATCTCCAGTCACGGCCTCAGTGGAGAACGCCTTTGAAATTCACGTGGCCTCCAAACAGCTGCGGAACTTCTTGAATGGAATCACCCATGGATAGCTACCTGGAGACCAGTACTCTTGACCTGCAAGAGCTCAAACATCGAGCAGCTCCGGCAACGTCGCTACGGTCCAGGAAATCATCTTCACCCCATTCACCAAGGCGCCGGTTGATGGTGTGGACCGGTCGTACCTGGAATGGATGAACCGATATTTTCTTCGTGGGCCCCAGACTGAGGGTGTGCGCTGGTGGCTACATCGAGCAACTCGAGGAGAATATCCCATCTTCATGTCGTCGCCCGTACCTTCTTGGAAACTTTGTACTGCTACAGGATTGGGTGACAACTTATTTAATCGAAGGGCGTTGGAAAAACTTTCGCCTACTTGGAATGGAAGAACGTTGAGTACCTGGAAAAGATGGAGTATTTAAGCGGGGTTCCTGAACTGAACCCCCTCAATTACTCGGTTCGGGCGGAGCTCAACAGGGTGGTCTACAGTGGCGGAGAAATCAACGATCTCGCTCAACTCCGGTCCCCATTCACTTTCGCGCGGCTGAATCTCTCGGTGGCGCTCCTCCAGAAGGCTGTGGCGCAGTATCATTATAGTATTTAATGTGCTCTTTAATATGGTAGTAAAAATGTCCGATAAAAATTTAATAAAGTGTAACTTATAGCGCCTTGAAAGTCATAGAGGTAAAATGACTTTTTTTGGCCCCCCTGTATATATTAGGCTGTCCGGAAAGTTCTTAGCGTTCCGAGTGTTTCAGTTTGAACGATCATAACTTTCTTAATACTCATCGGATTTAATACAAATAGGCACCATCCGGATCAGCACACTTTGCCAATGTGAAGACAGTCGAAATCCCACCAAAGGAAAAAACTGGGTGGTCGAGAATCCACGAAATCTACGAAGGCTTTTTTTTGATGACCCTAATTGATGAAGTATTTTCCGACAAGGAAGTTGAAAGTATTTGAAAAGGTGATAGTCGGTTGGTGAAAGGTCTGGAGAATGGCGGGTGAAGTAGAACTTCAACCCCCGATTCGTTCAATTTATGGGTTTTGATTTGTGAAACGTGTGGGCAGGCGTTGTCTTGCAAAAGAATCGGATCCTTTCTGTTGACAAGTGCTGGCTGCAGCTGACGCAGTTTTCGGTACATTTCGTCGATTCCTTCACAGTAGGTTTCTTGCTTAGTGAGTTCGTGGCTGTTCTGTTGATAAAAAGTTATAGTGGATCACACCAGCCGATGACCACCAAACCGTGCTGGAATGTTTTTTCGTGAGGGTTCGGCTTTGAGAATTACCTCGATGGTTCGTTGGAATCCAACCACTGTCCGGAACGTCTCCTGTATCATACATGATCCACTTTTCATCACAGGTGACAATTCGGTTCAAAAACGGTTCGTTTCTGTTGCGCAAAAGCAGTGAAGAAGAAACCTCGAGACGTACCAATTTCTGCAGATCACTCAAGTTGTGGGGCACCCATTTGTCGAGTTTTTTAACCTTCCCGATGCGTTTCGGACCATCCGCAACAGTGGATTTGCCAACGGCAGACCTTTCTGCAATCTCTCGAACTGTTTGGGATGGCTCAGCCTCCAAAAACCTCTTCAAATCCTCGTTAGATATTGCTTTAGGTCGACCGCTATGAGGTTAACTTCAAGGCTGAAATCTCCAGAACGAAATATGTTGAACCGTTGTCGCACCGTGCTTTCTCCTACACTATTGGGCCCCCACACCTGATCAATTTGTCGACCTGTCTTGAGTGCGGAATGACCTGATTTTTAGTTGAAGAAAAATATCGTCCGAAGTTGCTCTTTTGACATGCATCAAAAAGTCTTGGGAAAAGGGGGTTTATTAAGCACTGGTGAAACGGCAATCATACCATCAGATAGCGCAAAAAATTCTCTTCAGGGTGCACTACTGATACGCAAGGGAGAATGAGTTTGTAAATCCCATAACTGGCTTCCAATGCTGGTAAACGATTGTCATCTTCGCTGACGCAGGGCCTGGAATAACCCCTACAGACAAAGCGTCAGCGGGATTTTCCCTCGAGATTTCGGAAATAGTTTCAAGAGTCCCTTTTTTTGAATTCAAGCTGTTCAACATTGAGTG